CGCCCCGCCACGCCCCGCCGCGTGCCGCCCACCCTTGTCCCGCTACCCTACGCTCTGCCCGCCTTGTTTGCGCCGCACCGAATTATTGAGTTGTACCAGAGCCAAAGTTAAGATGAAGAACTCGTCGGGCCGTGATGACAGTTATGCTGTACTTTTGTACTTTGTGGTGATAGGGGCCGATTTGACGCTGTGAAATACAGAGAAAGGCAGACTCCTTCTCCACACGCGGTCCAATAATAAACATCACTGGATTGTGCCCATGTAGGTGGCCGGTAGGTGCCATTACGTAAGACCAAAATGGCTGAGCACGTTTGATATTTTGTGAGAATATGTTTAGCCATCCCTGAAAAAAATTAGTGGGGTCAATGTCGTAACGAGCTCACATTTCGCATATTTTTCAAAGCAGAGAGAGAGTATACCTCGAGAGAGAGAGTATGGGTAAGGCGCACGTCACATCGGACCCCGCGGATATCCGCAGGCGCCCGTCTATATAAAGCGCGTCCATGCACCCGAAAACGACAGCGAGAGCCAAGGTTCACTAAGCCGTTTCCGTGATTTCCTTTGGTTTACTTTCCGAGCGTTGCGCATCTGCACATGTGTGCAGTCTCTTCTCATGCACCACGACACATTTACCTGAAAATCCACCTACTGTTGTTTGTAAACGTCCTAAACCTCTCAAAGCCGTCGGTGCGACTGAGGCGCCATCTAGCGAGTAAACAGCTCTTTCGCTGACTTACTGCTCCTCACCCCACTGCGTCGTCCGAAATAGCACCTTACAAGTGGTGACCTTCCCCTATTACAATGGCCTTGGCCGTCTTTTCAAGGCCTCTTCGAAAACGGTCGATAAGCGTGCCTCTTTATAGATAGGTGCGCACTCTTCAAAATGAATTTCAAGTAATTGATATATATATATATCATCACTTCTTCTGTAAGTTAAAAACTGCCAACATCTTTCTTCTTTTTTCTTTTCGAAAAGTGTGTAATGCGTGTTGTTCCCAACTCATGTCATTCTCTGACGCGTCCTCTCGCGCCTCGGTAAAGAAATATAGTCGCCATTTAGAATGCCAGGGTTTGTTTTTAAAATGTTGTATTTGACATCGCGTATTTCAGCAGCCCGCGAGCAGCCGTCTCGGCAGTCGTGAGCATGTTTGTTATTTTACTGTCTACGTGAATGCGTCATGTTCACACGATGATCCGCACAAAACAGCTAAAAGTTACTCTACGAAAAGGTCATTTTTATGCATATCCAGGTGTTGAATGTACACCCAGCAAACGGTTCCGTTGATTCAATGGAAAGAAAATTTGATCAAATTTTTCTCTTGACTCAATGGAGTTCTATTGATTCAAGGGAAAATTCCCACAGGGTAAAGGAAAATCGCTTAAAGTTGTGGAAAATTTCTCTCATGCTTTCCATTGGTTAAAGTTCCATTGATCCAAGGGATTCTCCGTTAATTCAATGGAACCATTTTCTGAGTGTGGTGACGTCGTGTTCCCAAAAATCAATGCGCTCTGCGCTTTCGTGAGAGGACAGAACATGCATCGCGAAATGTTAAACGTTAGACCCTGCCGTGTGGTGTCACTGCATTTGTGCAGGTGCGCGCGCGTGTGTGTGTGTGAGTGCGAGTGTGTGCGTGAGTGTGTGTGAGACTGTGTGTGTGTGAGTGCGAGTACTCCGTACGATGCGCGGCGCTGCAGCGGGGGGTCAAGTAGAGTCTTGTCCACTCGTGTTTACACACGGGGCCTGGCCGCACGGCCCGGGGGGCAGAGGGGGGGGGGTGACGTGGTGGCCAGGATTGTGCAGGGCGGACGGATCCCATTGAGAGTGGTGCGAGAGAGAGAGAGAGAGAGAGAGAGAGAGAGAGAGCGAGCGAGAGAGCGAGACCGCTTCCTCTCTCTCACCACTTCCCTGGGGCGCGGAAGACTCGCCGCCGCGGCCGCCGACACTTGTCACTATTGCAAAGGCGCGAGAGGCGCTGAGATGAGATGAGAGGCGGCTGGGTCCGCCCATGGACCGCGACCAGCAGTCTCAACATCTCATGACCACTCGATTGATCGGAAGTGTCGCCAGGCACCGACGGCACTCTGCCACTACTTTGTATGCGCGAGATGTCGTGACCTCGCAGCTCCTATAAACTCAAAGTAACACTGTAAAAAACATGTTTGTACATGTACGATATATTTTGTAATTTTCCATATACCAGGTGGCTGTTTAACCCCGCGCACTTCTGTAGTTTGACTGTACCGCACGAACGAGTGCGGGCGGGCTTGCCTATTGCCCCTGTCCACGGCGCCTTACGGGCCATGCGAGTAGACAACCCGCCCGCACTCGTGCGTGCGGTACAGTCTAACTACAGAAGTGCGCGGGGTTAATCAGCCACTTGGTGCAGAACGAGTCGTACATGTACTACAACCTGCCACTCTCGCTCGTTATTAAGTTCCAAGTCGATACGAAGGGCTAGTAAATAATTTTACAATTTCAACTGTAAATGTACGACTTCATTCATAGAAATGTTTCTTGTACCCGATACGACAATTTTTTTTATAGTGAAACAAAAAGTAATCATGTAACATAGTTTCCTCCCAAAAATCATAAAAAGGAGGCAAATACTTATCCAATGAAACAGGTTTATGTTTTATGCTTGTTTTGAGGCCGGCGCGACGCGGGGAGGGGTTGTCAGCCCCCTAGGCTGCTCACGTCCGAAAGAGGGTATCACGTACCCACCCACCTATCGAAGCGACGATCGCATGTCGTCTTCTTATGGTGACCGGGCAGCCTCCGTCGTCCCACCGGTGGTGCTTCCGAAGTGTTGGCCCTTCGTAGTGACCCACAAAGCCACTTCAAGGCTGCTGTGTGCGTTTGCCTCGCAGCAGTGCCCCTGGACTTAACAGACCCACGTAAATGACGTCCCAGGCCGGGTCAGTTATGCGCTGTTCTCAGGGTGAAACGGTTAGGCGCTTGCGCGCGGCCGGGCGGGCTCACAGGCAGGACCCGCGCCACAGGACCCCCTCCGAGCGCGCAGGGGAGGGGCGATGGGTTTTGTGGGATCCGTATTGGACTGTAAAGGCGGTTCTCTTTCTACCTGAACATATGATGACTGCGCGCTCAGGCGCCGGCCAGGAGGGGGAGACAAAATTCCTTTGTTGGTGTGTGTGTGTGTCCGTACGTGCGTGTGCGCGCGCGTGTGTGTGTATGTGGAGAGAAACTGGGAGTCGGTGTATACGCGTTTGCTTATGTGTGTTGATAGAGAGAAAGAGATATGGAGAGGGGGGGGGGATGGGTTGGGGCGACTCTGACAGGGTGTTTGAGCGTGAGAGTGAGTGAGAGGGAGAATGTGTGTCGTGCCCGTGTCTGTCTTCTTCGTCTGGCGCTAACCGGCAGACAGAGAATGATTTTACGCCACCTCTGTGACAAGGCTCGCGTTTGCGACAAAATCCACCCGAGACGGGCTGGTGAAAGATTATCATCCACACACATTGACGACTTGCCGTTCCTTATTTCTGCAGAATAATAAAGGCGGCGACATTCTTTTGCGTCGGGGCGGACAACGACTCGTTGTTTTGCCTCTCCTCCCATTGGGTCTCTGGTCGACATAGAAAAAATTGTATCCATGTTTAGGAAAAGGCGAAAGTGCAGCCACTGTAATGTTGTAATCCATACCTCGTCTCCCCTTTAGTGTGGCAAGTCGTTTAGAGAGTCTCCCTGCGCCCTCTGGACCTCGGACCCTTTTTGACCCTCTTGTTTACCCCAGCCCTTCACACAGTTTGCTGCGCGTACCGCTGTTCTGTAGGTGTCAAGTTTCCGGTCTTCTGAACGCGCGCCGCCGCCGCGTGCCGCCAAAGCCTTTGTAGGTGCGTCGGGGAGTTTGTAAAAGCCCCGTATAACGGCGCCCTGTCCCGTCACACTCCTCTTGCACTCGCTTCTGCCAAAATAGTTTATTGGTTCAAACGAAGGGCGCAACCATTTCTAAATTCAAAGGACTGCAACTGACACATCAGTAACTGAAAAAAGTTTACCGTTTTATTTCAAATATTTGGGAGTCTCATTGGTTTTCGTAGGTCCATTATCCGCTCTGTGCAAAATTGCCAATTTTCTTCTCTTTTTTTTGCCATTATTAGTGGATAATGACGCGTCGGTGACGGGTGTGAGACCAGACCACCCGCCTGACCCGTTCGGCCCGTTCTCTATCGCCCGGCGCCTTCCGCCCCGCACACCTTGCGCGCTGCTATCCGCCGAGGTGCGGCCGCGCTCGCCGCGAATTTTGCGACGTGTCCAATTAATGACGCCCGGCCCGTTTTGTCGCGAAATAAATTGCGGCGCGGCGGTTTGTTTGGGGCCGGGCGCGCCGTTTATCGCCTCCCGCGAGCCTGTCTGTGCGACGCAGTCGATGAGCGGCATGAAGTTATGAGGGTTTATTTTGAGGCGCTGCCATGGAGAAACGCTAATCCCACGGGCGGGTTCTCTTCTATGGGCGGTGCGTGTGATGCACAGGGGACGTAGAGGTGGGGCTGTGTGTGTGTGTTCGTGTCGTATGTTTATATAAATGTGTATATTGAATACTGTTAAAATTGTTGAAGGTGATAATAAAAATACCATCTAATTGTGCAACCAAAACGATGCCTTCACAACTAACTAATGGGGGTGGGTAGGTGGTACACCCAGAAAAGTATGTTCTTGATTTCTCCATGGACTTGAATTTTTGAGTAGAATTGTTCTTGATTTGAGCCAAAATACTTGGTATAAGAACAATTTTGTTCTTATACCAAGTATTTTGGCTCAAATCAAGAACAATTCTACTCAAAAATTCAAGTCCATGGAGAAATCAAGAACATACTTTTCTGGGTGTAGCTGTTTCCTTGACTAAATCGCTATCATTTCCCTGTCGCAGGTCTCCTCCTTCTCCTGGCTGCTTGCAGTGTCTACAGCTCCGCGGGGCACAAGTGGAACCCGGAACACAGGTAAAATTGCTCAACGAATTGATTTATTTTTTCGTAAAATCAGGAAATGTTTGGGTGGGTAGACTTCGCGTGCAAATCTAGCCCAGCAGCTCCCAAAGCCGGTTGCGGCGCGTCCATGCGGGACTTTTGCCGATGAAATATTAAACACAAAAGTGACGCGGTCACATTTTTATAAAGCCGCGCCACATGGACTTTTTTACGCTTGTAAAACAAACGTGATATCAAGCCTTTTAAGGGCAATAAAGATCCAAAAGCATTACAATTTATGAATTCCATTAAAAAAAATTGTTCTATGGGCTAAAATTAGAGTCTAAACCCTACCACTCTTCGCAAAATTCCGCTTCAAACAAGGTTTATGATGGGGTTCTGTTTTTGTTTTAATGCATAAATTTAGTGGATTCCTTGTACTTTTTGACTTGCCTTCCATTTGCTGGTCGTTTGTCAGAAACCTATTTTTACATGTCACATGTAAGCTCGTTTAATGCAGAATTTTCCGGTACGAATGCGACGTTGTATACCGAAATGAGATAGGTTTTCATCATACAGAAACTATCGGAAAAACTGAAAAAATGAACTCTAATACCTCTAAAAAGGGATAATAACCCCAGGATATAGGTACGGTACACCTTTCTTTTCACCGCATAAGCGTTCCCTACAGGCAGCGACTAGAATGCACAATAAAAAAAGCCAGCGTAAAAACGTAAATTTTAGAGTAAGTTAGCAGAGCTTTTGAATGTTGCAGCTTTTGACGCAAAGAAAATGTGAAATTCCTTATCAAATTGTAAAGTTTTTTCTACCAGGGTTTTTCCATGTCACTTACAGAAATTTAGCTCTGCAGGTGATAGGAGAGACGCGTCTTATAGAGTCAAGAGAAATAATAAATTGCACCAGTGTGCGCTGCAGTCTGCTCTGTGCTGACTTTTGCTGTGTAGAGAAGGACACACCTGGCAGGTACAGCGGCGCTGATGCCGCTGCTGGCGCTGGAATCGCGCGCCGCAGCAGGCAGCAAATAAAGATCTCAGGTCGCATATCTCATGGGATCGGTGCGGGAGATTAGCAGCGCGCGTGTGTGGGGGACAGGGGTGTGTGCATGTACGGGCAAGGGAGAGCCACTGCCATACGCGCTGGACCAACAGCTTCAACAAAAAGAACAGTACATCGAAAGGGATTACTTTTTCTGCGTTATTTTTGAATTATTTCTCGTAGTAGATCGTGTGATAAAAATCAAGACAGATGGAGAGATGAGCGCAAGAGAATGGAGGAAAAGGGGGGTGCGGGGTCATATAGCAATCGGGTGCCAGTGAAAGGTCGACGATTATAGTGCCGATCTGATCCGGGCCAAGCTTTTAGCATTTTACCGCTACGGGTGTTTTACGATTCTTGCTTGCGAAACCACTGATCAATACAGATGGGGGTTAAAAAAAAACAACAAAATACCCTCGGAGTGTTCAATGCCAATCATAAGTGGAGCCGGCCAATAAAAGTTCGGAACGCGTGAAAGACGATCCACAAATCAAATATCTCTTCAAATAGGTCGGTAGGGTTTTCTTTTCTTTTGATTATGTTTTCGGTGATAGTCATGTATTGGAAGTTAAAACTACGGCCGTGGATAGTGGCTGAATGAATACTTTGTAAAATCAATTACACGCGGAATCTGCCTACCCATCTTGCCAAGAAGTGAACGTGTTTCATGTATGTTGTTTTTTTGTCACCTGAGCCCCACCAGTGTGACTGGCTGTTTGTCCGACTCAAGTGTGCAATATTTGCACACCAACGTGTGCAAGTTGTGATTTTGCACATTACATGGTGTTTAACTCAAGTTGCACACTTGTGTGGTGTGCAAATTTTAGACGTTTTGTAAACGTTTAAATTCTGCACACTTGGACGTACACAGTTCTATGCTGTTAATAGGGAACCATATGGTGTGCAGCTGCTATACGTTTCGGAAGTGTCGAAAGTTTAAACACCAATTGACGTATAACATAGTTAGACACCACAAAGTGTCGAGAAAATGCACACTTGAACTTAGACGTCAATTGACGTGCAAAATTAAACACTTGTTTTACCAGTGCAGCATCACCATAATAAACTGTCTCAGCGCGTTTCACGCTCCGTACCGCGCTATGACAATTGACCCGAAGTAATGGCCTCTTTGCAGACGACTTATTAGGGTTTTAACTAGTTGGCCTGCCCCTCGCAATTGTATGCATTTCTCATTTCCTGGGTGGGGCGCCAAACTGGCACAAGGCGGCTACCTGAAAGCAATGCACAGCGGCAAGGCAAGACACTTAAGATGTGGGGTATTTTTGCGAAATATTGCAATCAATCGAGGGTGCTAGTGCTAAAATAGCCCGACAAAGGACAAGCTTCGTTTTAGATCTTTTTTTCTTCTGGGGTGTGGCCTCATTCGGGCATAAGAGTGCAGTAAAGGAAATGCACTCTGAGTGCCCTGTCAGAGGCAACACTATATGGCAGTCCTCTCCTGCGTGCAAATGCAGCCAGCGCGACGTGTCCGCACCGCACCCCAGTACATCCGCCAGGCGTGTTCAATCTTCTGGAAGGACAATGATGAGCATGCAAAATGAATCCAACTCTATCTCCTCCCCCTGTAAGTGTTTCCATATAACTCTTTCTAACAGTGCTATTCCTGTCCGATTCTCGTTGAAAGAGTTGTAAGTGGCGCTGACGGTTGTCCACGACGGGCTCTGTGTGCAATGTTAATTAATCTCGAGAGATATTATCGAGCTCGCTGAGTAAATAGAAACTGCAAATTCATATAACATCAAAAGATTGAATGGCTCGATAAACCAGAGCCAATTTGTATACTATGTGAATGTAACAGATTACATCCGCGTTGGAAGATGTCTTGGTCAGGGATGCTGTGGGTTGTTGGTGTACAAACTTCCCTCCTTTTCTCGTATCTACAGGGAGGTCCACAGAGCCCTTCCTTTATTTCACTTCTACTGTACCGCATTCAGGCGTGCAGGCGGGTTGCATACTTGCACGGGGCCATGAGGCGCCGTGGTGAGTGATGGTAGGCAATCCTGCCTGCACGCCTGCATGCGGTACAGTATCAGAAAATAAAGGAAAGGGTTTGCCACTGGACCACCCTGTATGTTTACGAAAGTTTCGAGGACAAAGGTGTTCATATCCATACAATTCTGTTAGACAGTTAAAAAATGTATAAAATTGAACTAAGATCAGTGTTACCTGTATCTGTCGGGATGTATCAAACATTTCCTGTCGATGCACTCAGTTTTGTCTTATCTCTGGAAGACGTTTGTGCGTCGTGTGCCAAACCGTCAGAGCACCTCAGACCGCAGACCGCACAGACTCAACAAGGTTTTGTTTGACACGTGATGAATGATGAAGCATTGTGTTTGTTTATATTTTATTTGTTGCTCAAACACTGCGTAAGTTAACTCACTCAATCATCAGCGTGATTTTCAAACCAGGATCCCGCTTTCGTAACAGTGTTTTAGCGCCAAAAGAGGCTTATGCTTGCAGCTTAGTAAATAAATGGCTGCAATATGCACATAGCGCAAGGCTGAGCCCGTCTCAAACTCAAAGCGCACGCAGTGTCCTCTCATCACTTTGGCCGCGAGAGTTAACGTATCCTCTTCCGTGTTATTTCTCCCTCTCCCCAACCAATACCCTCCGTTGACAGAATCGTATCTCTTTTGCAAGATGTGTAATCGTTTTATCTAATTAGTTGTGAACAGTTTTGAAAAGTTTGCTGATATTTATATGCAAGTATTTTTCAGCGTTAACCAAGTCCGAGTAAAACCGAATCAAAAGCACTGCAATTTTGTTGCACTAGCAGCTCTGTTTTCTTTGGCTGAGATTCAGGGTGACTTTCTGCAACGGGTGTGGCCAATGCCGGAGGAATTCACAGTGGATGGCCCGCCTTGAGGTCTCTACACTAGAAAAGTTATTCCAAAGAACTGTCCTTGTATCAGAATAACTTGTTTGAAAATCCGCTACGTAGAGAAGAGAGGTGTGAGTAGTTATTTGGTACTGTTGCCACTGTCGAAACTGCATGTTGCATTAACATTTCAGGGTTCAAGTCATTGCGTGCGATTCAAGGAGGCAGTAGCAAATTACGCATCGAACGGTTTGAATTATAAATGAGATTACAAATGAGCAGAGTTGCGTCTGCGCACATGTACCGTACTAATAAGTTGAAGGTAGACGAGTCGCTTGGCTCCACAGCTGCGCTCATGTCCCAGCATTTATTTTTGGGGTCGTCATGTTGTACATTTAGGAGTGCTTTGGAGGCTAGACATTGCTGCTCTGTCTCCTTGTTGACGCCTCCCACTCATTGCAAATTTTGCTCTATTGTCGTTCTCCGAGGTATTCTTTTTTTATATTTTTCCGGAAGCACATAAATGTCACCAGGTGGTCTTAAACGTTGACGTTTTACGGCTGTCAGGGGAGCGGCAACCCAGCCTCCTTAAAAGTGCTGATCGAGCGAAGCGCAATAACTTCATTATTGACCCGCGGGGCGTGGCCTGGCGTGGCCTGGCATGGAGAGCCACACTGAGGGGCGGAGCCTGTTGAGACATCATTTACGCGATTTATAAAGCCGTCAGGTTCGCTCTGACCACGTTGCAGAGGCAGAGGTGCCATAATGTGGCTGCTGGCTACAAATTACCCCATCGGTTTGCATTCGATGGGTGGAAAACGGAAAACATATACTCTGGAAATCAGAACACTGATAAACTAAGTGTTCAACTGCTCAACACTTCTAAGTGTGCAACTGTAAGTCAAATACTTGCAAGTGTGCAACTGCAAGTTAAATATTTGCAAGTGTGCAACTCGGTAGGTGTGCACTTGCAAGTGTGCAACTCCTCGGTTGAACACTTCCTACACAGTAAGCGCCCAATCTAAGGAAGTGTGCAACCGAGGAGTTGCACACTTGCAAGTATTCAACTTGCAGTTGCACACTTGCAAGTGTTGAGCAGTTGAACACTTAGTTAATCAGTGAAGGTGATCCATGA